TCCTGCCTCAGCCTCCCGAGTAGCTGGGATTACAGGCACGTGCCACCATGCCCAGCTAATTTTTGTATTTTTAGTAGAGACGGGGTTTCACCATGTTGACCAGGATGATCTCGATCTCTTGACCTCGTGATCCACCTGCCTCTGCCTCCGAAAGTGCTGGGATTACAGGCTTGAGCCACCGCGCCCGGCCAACAGCCTTTCAATTTTTAATTATGTCCTTCTGTCTCCATACAAAGTAGGCAAAAGACTATAAAGGAAACAGAAAATTCAAATACTATCCATCACACCGAACCTATCATTGCCCTCTCCAGCAATTAAAAAATTGAACTTGGGTCAGCTATCTTTCCCTCTTGGGAGGAGTTCCTGTAAGTTTTTGATCTCCTTGCAAATGGACCTTGGTCAGTCCACCTGCAAGTTCAGTCATGTGTGAATTCTAGCAGTGAAAAAGATGAAATCCTCACATGTTTGGGTGACTTTAGGGTAAATTTTACTTTTTCCTTCCTCAAAAGAAAGGGTGTGTATGTGTTTAGAATATGTTATTTGCTGTATTTCTTCTTAACTCTCTTGAGATTCTCTAGTGGATCTGATATAATCCTTCAGTTTTCCATACTTGTCCTTTTTTGTTCAGGGACGGGGAGAAACGTTGATCAAAGAGAAAAAATACAGGTCTGGTCTTGGAGCTTTGGGTGGGAAGTAGCAGCTTTTATTCTAAAAGCAAATATTGTCCCAGCTCCAAGCTCAGGTGCTGGGCATCCCTCATTCACATCAGCTGCTTCACTGCTCGTCCACCAGCAAACCTGAGCGCTATAATGACTAACCAGGAAAATATCTCCTGCCTGATAGTCTTCCTGAGTTGTATATGTAGCACTATACATGGTGGCAAAAATACTAAAACTATCACATTTTGGTACTGATTAAGTACTGTACAGTTTCAACGACTCAATGTTAGCATGATAGCAGTAGGGAAGAGTGACCTGTATGAGGTCATGGTGGGTACTTCAGGGACAGGAATAAAAGCTTCAGTGTACCCTGGAGGAAGCTTTAGGGCTTGGACTCTGCTTTTACATCCCTACAAGATTTGGCTCTGACTCATTGTCTACTTGAAACCTCAGGCTCAGTGTAATAATTGCCATCATGCACATTTGGTGTGATCTTAGGTCTCTCCAAGGTTTGTGTCTAATTTTTTCCTAATAGGCCTACATAGTTCTTGTAGAAGTTCATGGCACAGGGGCTCTCCTTGTCCACGCCTGAAAATGAAGCCTGCCTGCAAAGTTTTGAGACATGCATTTTACTTCTGCCATTATTCTCATCTCTTCACCTGCTCTGATCCTCCTGTTTTTACCTAATTTCTGCAAACTGGAATTTTCACTTTCACTCTAGTCGCTTGGATTCATGTAGAAGAACTACCTGACTCTGTTTCCCCTTTTCTCCAGGACATACTGTGTTGTGTAGCTCCTCCTGTCTCCACATAGTGCAAACAGGCAGCAGTGTCATGCACAACATTTAGGCTTGGCCATGGTTCCTAAGGCTCAGGTCCCCGATAATTAGGAGACGGAGAAAATTTAGAAAAAATGGTATCTCAGAAATGAGCAAAATAAAAACTTTGGAGAAATGAAAACATTTTATAATGAACTGTTTTCTAATGACTTAGATTTGTTCTCTATTGTCTTGCTAATTAGGTAGACAAATCCTAAATGTAAGAGATCCAAGGGAGTAAGGCATATTTAATAGTATCTAATTCCCTGGGCACGCACTGGTTTTCCATATGGTCAGGAATCCAATAGCTCAACACAGGATATAATTAATTTCTCTGAAGCAAAGCAAATGATAACATTTAGATAATTACTCTTCACAAGTATTTTTTAAAATTTCTTTCTAAGGACTGCCTAAAGAGAGTGTTTTATTGAACTAATATAATAAACAATGAAAGGCAGTGAGGGTCAAAGCAAGGATTAATAATCTACTGAAATATGTCTGGTGCATAAACCAAAATACAAGATTCTTTCTTCCTACATGTTGAGCAAGGGTTGTTGACTTTGTCATATCACTATAGAAGTTATCTCAATTGGAGTCAACTTTTTATTTCTTGTGGGCTGCTGGGCTCTGCTTTTTCTGTGGCCAATACTGTACATCAGTCCATTGTGGGACATTAACCTTGGCAAATGAAGTGGGAAAAGGCTTAGGAGACTTGGATTCTACTATACACCTCTCTGTGGTGGCTCTGTACTAGGCCAACTTAACCAATCTTAAGTATGTTCTCTAGATCATACTTTATTGCATAATTCTGATTTTACATAGGCCATGGAAGATATTTTGTACAATATTTGAAAGATAGAAATGAAGCAACTCTGAAGACTGGTGCAGGGGACCAGTCTGGCTCATGTGCAAGTGTATATGCGACCACATGTTGAAGGTGCCAACTTCTGTAGATCCATAGTGTTGATGGCATTGAGGCTAAATACATTCAGAGACAGATAAAAGTTCCTGTTTGTCCTTACAGGTTTTAGCTGACCTACGTGTCTTGGTCCACCTTTGTAGGTTCAAGCTGGTCCTTCCTGACTAGCAGCCTAGCTGACCAGATTCAAAATAGTCACAGACACAACAGCTTGTATAGATGATGCTCCAGCAGCTCCCAAAATTGCATACGGTCAAAACACTATGGTAAATTGCACATTATATATAATGTATAGCAGCTCTACTTCAATGATATAACCTTGATTTGTGTATTACCTAGTTGGTAATACATGTAGAGATGCCTTAATTTCTAGGATAAGGGTACATGCTTGCTTTTTATTCTTCTAAATTCCTTTGTGAGGATCAATAAACAAATTTCATAATAAATTTTTTAAAGATATGAAACATGAAACATACAGATAAAGATGTGTGTATGTGAACAGACACATCTATATACATTTTAT